AAAAAAAAAAAAAAAGAGAAAAGCAAAACAAAAAATCTTTATTTAAGTCTTCCTACCCTAACCTACTCCCAATCCTTCTAAATCGGAAGTAATTCCTCCCTCTTCTATGCTCAATAGATAGCATTTCTTTATAATTCTTTGCTGTATTTATTATGCAAATACAATCCTATAAAGTAGAAAATATTTATTTTATAGCTGTCTTACCAAACTGACAATTTGAAGGCAGAGATTGGTCATATCTATCTTTCACAATACATATAGCATAGCCATGGCACAGTGAAGGTAACACATATTTATTAAATGTTGGAATAAAAGAATTGAAAATGGGAAAAATTTTGTAAAAAAGAAAATGTTAAATCCAAGGTCTAAATAAATAAATAAGAAAACACTTCCTTTTTTCTTCTTTTTTTTGAGACAGAATCTTGCCCAGGATGCACTGCAGTAGCAGGATCTTGGCTCATTGCAACCTCTGTCTCCCAAGTTCCAGCAATTCTCCTTCCTCAGCCTCCCAAGTAGCTGAGATTACAGGCATGCACCACCATACCTGGCTAATTTTTGTATTTTCAGTAGAGACGAAGTTTTGCCATGTTGGCCAGGCTAGTCTCGAACTCCTGACCTTAGGTGATCCACCTGCCTTGGCCTCCCAAAGTGCTGGGATTACAGATGTGAGCCACCCCTCCGGCCAAGAAAACACTCCTTGATTTAAAAAATAACTAGCTCCAGTGGCTCACAACTTTAATCCCAGCAATTTGGGAGGCTGAAGCGAGTGGATCAGGAGGTCAGGAGTTCAAGATCAGCCTGGCCAAGATGCTGAAACCCCATCTCTACTAGAAAATTAGCCGGGCGTGGTGGCAGGCACCTGTAATCCCAGGTACTTTTCCCTAATTACTTGAACCCAGGAGGCAGAGGTTGCAGTGAGCCGATCGTGCCACTGCACTCCAGCCTAGGCAATGGAGCAAGACTCCGTCTCAAAAAACAACAACAACAAAAAACAAACAAAAAAACTAGCTCATAATATTAGCTATCAAAAAGCTAAACCAAAAGCACGCTCTGAGATTCTAGCATAAAATAACTAAAGACAGCTATATTAATACTCACCATTTTCTTTAGATTTGCAGCTAAATGAGGAATATTTCTAATTGTTTCAAGGTGGGTTTCTAATCTCTCAATGAAAGTCACAGCCAACTCCAGTAAATGTACCATATATCTGAAAGAGAGAGAAAAAAAGTTAACATTTTTTAAAGTTTGTTTTGTATTCCTTTTCATCAGGACTTTTGAGATAAGAATTACAATCTAGAATGTAGGTCTGTGCTTGATGAGTATAAAAAAAAAAAAGAAACAAAGACTTACAATCAACCTAATGAGCCAATAACAACCTTCCTGCATTCATGGAAATATTAGTGATGAAAAAAAGGTCCTTCTCTTTCACTTTAAGCAACTTAACTTGTCATATAACTTGTCAAATAAAAAAATGGAAAGAGACAACAGTAATCATATCTGGAACCCACCTTAATGTTGGAAAAACCTCAATATTAATCTTAATCATTTTCTCATATAAGAAATTTCCTTAGATAAAACCCCATTCCTCATTCCATTTCTTGTTTTCTGTTTTTGTTTCTCAGACTGGAGTGCAGTGGCACAGTCTTGGCTCACTGTAACCTCCGTCTCCTGGGTTCAAGAGATTCTTGTGCCTCAGCCTCCTGAGTAACTGAGATTACAGACATACATCACGACGCCCAGCTAATTTTTGTATTTTTAG